TTTATTTTTTTATTATTTTTTTTTAAGAGGAAACTAATCTTGAGACTGAACATTTATCACAGGATGTCCCCATGAGCTCTGGGATCTTTCTACTCTGGATATTGGCAAGATTAAGTTGGCTACTCCTATCAACCTAACTATTGACAATACTTTGCTTCTACCTAATATCTTTTTGTCAATATCCTTCAAGACCCAATGCACTGGCCATAGTAAGCCCATTATAAAAGATTAATTAAATAGCGAGCTTATACCTCCATGCACAAGTCCCTGTGAAACTCTCTCCAGTAAAGAACCCCAATGGGAAAGGATGGGAATCTGTACCAGATCTCAGAACTACAACAAAATTGTTATTCCTAGACATCCAGTGGCCCCAAACCCATGCAGGCTCTTTCTGCCATCTTGCAGATTGCCAGCATGTTTCAGTAATAGATATATGTAGAGACTTTCCAGCATTTCTGAGGAAAAGGACAGTCAATATCTTTTTGCAATTCACTGGGACTGTAATGCCCCCAGGGATGTATAGAGAGTCCCACATATTTCTCTCAGAAACTAAAGGTTGATTTAAATGATATTGAATTTCCTGGAGATTCCACTCTGAGCCCGTAAGTAGATGACTTATGCTTCCGGACATTATTAGACTTCCAAAAGGACACAATCAACTTGTTACAACAGCTGGTGATAATGGACAAAGCTTCAGTTCTGCTCACCCAAGGAGAATACCTTGGCCATCTTCTAATTAACTACTAGTCAACCCTCCAAGACTCACAGCAGTTCTAGTCTTTCCTCTTCCAAAATCTAAGAACAGCTTAGAGGATTTCTAGAGCTGACTGGACATGGTTGCAACTGGGTCTTAAAGTTTTCATTAATAACTCAACCTCTATATGGATTATTAAAATCACATCAGCCTGATCCAATCCAAGGGAAACAAGCTATAGAAGCTCTAAGGAAGAATTATCTATAGCTCTCCTTAGGGGGACTCTAAGTACAAACTTCCTTTCTTCCTTTTTACCCACGAAAATAAAGGAAATGCTTTAGGAGTTTTAACTCAGAACCATGGAGATCATTATGGACACTCAGGAATCAGAGACAACAATTAGACTCGGTAGCAAAAGAGCTCCTCCTTGAATGTGGGCCATCCCTGCTACTGCCAAGTTATGCAGAAAATACAGGAGATGGTTATGGGCTCCCTTCAACCATTTGCCTTTCTCATGCTGTTGAGTCTTTCCTAAGCTCTTATCTCACTCAGAAATGTTCTGTCAGCTGACTGACTTCTTATGAAGCACTGCTTTCTGCATCTAATATTCCTTTTGCTTGATGTAACAGTCTTAACTCAGCAACTTCACTACTTTCTTTATAAAATGAACACCCACAATTGCTCTTAGGAATGATTTGCAGGGAACTCCTGCTGACAATGCTGACTTAATTCGGCTTGCAGAAAGGTCTCATCTCAGAGATGAGTGGGGATACTACCGAGCTGGATATGCAATGACTTCCCTGGTGGATATAATGTAGAGTTCTTATTGACCTCAAAGATCTGCTCCAAAAGTTGAAATAAAGGCTCTAACTCAAGTTTGCTGATTGACCAAAGATAAAATAGCATATATATATATATATTCCTGCCTGGCTTTTAAACATTAAATTTATTAGGGTGACATTAGTTAATAACATTATATAAGTTTTTAAAAAATATATATTTTATTGATTTTTCACAGAAAGGAAGAGAGAGGGATAGAGAGTTAGAAACATCGATGAGAGAGAATCATCAATCAGCTGCCTCTTGCACATCCCCCACTGGGGATGTGCCCACAACCAAGGTACATGCCCTTGCCCAGAATCGAACCCGGGACCTTTCAGTCCGCAGGCCGACGCTCTATCCACTGAGCCAAACCAGTCCTGGCACATTATATAAGTTTCAAGTGTACAGTTCTATAATGCATTATGTATATCTTGCACTGTGTGCTCACCAGCCAAAGTCCAGTTCCTTCCTGCCGCTATATGTTTGACCCTCTTTACCTTCTTCCTCCTTCCTCTACTCCCTTTCCCCATTGATAACTTTCATGCTGTTGTTTGTTCACTTGTTTGTTCATCTGTGGCTTTCTGTTTTTATATCCCATATATGAGTGAAATCATATGGCTCATCTGACTTACATTGTTTAAAATAGTCAATATTTACACTGATAATCACAATGCCTTTTGTGTAGTTCATGACTTTGGAATGTTATGGGAACAAGGGTTTCTTAAGGTCCTCAGGGCAGCCTATGAAGAATGGATAACGGGTTGCAGAATTATTAGATGGTACACATTAACCAAGACAATTGGCATTTATCAGAATTCCAGGCCACCATGAAAACAAAGGGAATCATGTAGCGAGGATGTAGCTAGACAGGCAGTATTAAACAATCAAATTGTCCCAACTTGGGAATGTATCTTGCTCCTTATTAAATCAATGGAACACTATCTTTTATAGTTCAAAAGGAGAGCAACAGAAGAAGAAGAAATGGCAACAAAAAGGGGGATCTTTGACCCAGACAAACAAATAGGGTTTGGGCCCAATAAAAAGGCATCTTATCCACAGGGCTCAACGGCCTGCCCTCTAACATGGACATGAGCTAACAATCGGAGTCCTGAAAAGATGACGTCACGGAGAATGCAATATTATTGGAAACCTTCTCCTACTGCACTGGTAGCTTATAAAGTACCGTTTTTTCCGGCATATAAGACGACCCCCTAATTTTACAGTTAAAACATAGGTTTAGGCCTATATTCGCTGCATAAGATTACCCCCCACTTCCGAGGCAACACCAGTTCTTTTTTTTTTTTACAATTCTTTTTTTTTAAAATATATATTTTATTGATTTTTTTACAGAGAGGAAGGGAGAGGGATAGAGTTAGAAACATCAATGAGAGAGAAACATTGATCAGCTGCCTCCTGCACACCTCCCAATGGGGATGTGCCCACAACCAAGGTACGTGTCCTTGACCAGAATCAAACCTAGGAACTTTCAGTCCTCAGGCTGACGCTCTATCCACTGAGCTAAACCAGTTTTGGCAATCTGCTGTATTCTTGGGAAGGCTCTGTTGTTTTTGCTTATCAAGCACAAGTTCAATGACAAAATCATTCTAGATTTCAAGATGGTTAGCAGACCATCAAGCCCAGCACTGGGCCCTTCTGAGTGTGGGGCCCAGAAAGCCGCATGGATGAAGACCCATGAAGCTGGCCTGGGTTTTCTTGAACCTTATCTCTTCTGCCCCATTCAGGCTATTGCTTTGTCCAGACTCTTATCACCCCCATCTGCCCTTTGCTTCCAGGAAGTCATAGACACAGTTCTTATTCCTATCATCTGCTTAATGTTCAAACCAGGACCCTGAACATCATTCTGCATTTTCTCTCTCTCTAAAGTTGACATCCATTACCAACCTCTATTCATCCTCCTGCCCAAACCCGTCTTGAATCTTCATACTTCCCATCTCCGCTGCTGCCATCAGGTTCAGCCTGCAACCCTGCAATCACTGCCTAATGGATTTCCCTGCTCCCTTCTAATGGGATCCCCAGACAACAGCCAGAATGAGCTTTCTAAGAATACAATCTGATCAGGTTACTTTCCTGCATGGTTATTTTCCTTCAATGGCTCTCTGGTTCCTCAAGATCAAGGCTTATTTTGACCATGGCTAACAGAGTCCTTCTGGGCTGACTCCTGCCTGCCTTTCCAACATATTTATCACTATTCACCTCTCATATCTGGTGCTCTAGAAGAGATAAACAATGTACACTTCTTTTAATAACTCTTGCTCTTTCCTTTTCTCAGCCACTCTTACTGATTCATTCAAGTCTCAGTTATGTTTCCCTATTGCCATGCCTATACCACATCCCTCATACCACACGTTCAAAGCTATATCATAATTATTTATCTGTGTCTCTCACTAGATTCTGAACTCTGAGCAGGCAGGGGTCTTGCTTAGATTACTACAGTGTCTCTAGCACACTGAGTGCAGTGAGTATCATGTAGTTATCACTCAATAAAAATGTGTCAAAAGCATAAGCTCTCCCTGGGCCAGCTATATCCTCACGTCACAGTCCATCGAGATAAAAGCTCTCAAGAGGGTGATATGGTGAGTGGAGTGGTACCCACCCATCTCCTCATTTCCCTGGGGTCATTCTCTTTGCTAATTTATTCACATTCCTTGGCAGGCTGTGCCTTATTCTTTATGTGCCTAATTCTTTATCCTTCATTTTCTAAGCAAATGTTTAGTAACTTCCCATTTATCAGCAACAACCCAGGCAGCTGGAGACCACTAAGACCAACCTGTATGTGAAATCAAGATTTTCAGGTACAACCCCTTAGCCTAGAACATACTCTTGTTTGGCCCAATGCATACTCTCATTTTCCTAAGCATGAAGAAATAATAGAGAAGGAAAAGGAAGTAAGGTAATCTTTGTGATTTCCATAAAAAAACAAACAAAATCAATATTGACCACAGAATAGTTAATCAGAATGAAAGAGCAACCATTTGCTCAAAATGATTTCTCTTCTCTTAAAGCAACTGCAATTGTTGCAAAACATTTCTGTGCTATTTTAAAAGAAAAGACAGGGAAAAACAAAAGTACAGCAGTTTGGAGTTGGGAACAAAAAGTCCCAGAATAGTTTCATTTCCACACCACAGTCACTACAAAACAAACCTTTGGAAAATGCTTTTTCGCTAACAAGCCTTCTGATGTGTCTTGTTGGGTTCCTGCAATGATGCAGAAGTTCCTTGCAGCCTTCCACAGCAAGTCCAATTTCCCTGTATGCTTTTGCAGTTGTCCTGGACTCAGCCTCCGCCCCTCTCTCTCACATCCGAGGGTCCCAGAGTGTGCAGGCTCCACTCCCAGGAGCCCATGTGGTCTTCGTGACTTCTCCCAGGGCATTCCCCACTGTAATGAGCTCAGTCTTTTCTCTCTGGTTTCCTCTGTAAAGTTTCTCTTTGCCTTGGGTATTTTGCAGTTTCCTTGTAGGTCCAGGCACCGCCAGCGACTGTCTTCATGCAGGATCCACAGTGCCAGATCCCCACGGCTCGCCTCTTCATCTTGGTTTTGCCACAGAAGGAGCAGGTGTACTTGGCGTGCTGGCTGATCTCAATCTTCTTCACCATTTTCCGGAGGGAGGCGCCATAACGGGTCCCGTATTTACCGACGATTCCGACCTTCTTGGTGCGTTTAGCCATGTCGCCGTGCGAACTAAGCCCGACGTCGAGAGCCCAGTTCTTTTTTTTAATAGACCGCCTCTCTGACTCTGGCCAATCTGAGTAGGCTTTTTACTAGAACACAGTGTACATGTTCTTTAGCGGAAGCTACACTGTGTTCTAGTAAAAAGCCTGCTCAGATTGGCCAGAGTCAGAGAGGCGGTCTATTAAAAAAAGAACTGGTGTTGCCTCGGAAGTGGGGGGTAGTCTTATGCAGCGAATATAGGCCTAAATCTATGTTTTAACTGTAAAATTAGGGGGTCGTCTTATATGCCGGAAAATACGGTATGTAACACACGCTCTATTTGTCAGAATATAACCATGGAAAACCACTCCACTGCCCTATAGGTCAATTTGTGATATGGCAATTGCATTTTATCCAAGTGTCACCATCACAAGGATGAATGGAAGTCCTACAACCAGTGAAGTAAAGTAGAAAGCACACTAAGACTGGTAGGAGGGGTGGGGGGCTGGTCTGACAGCCACGTGTGGTGTATTTTTTAATTGGGAAGGATATGGTCTCTACAGAGGCTGCTCATGAGGAACAAGGGTTCCCAACCCCACACGAGACCCCCAGCCCAGGGTTCCAGAGCTGGGAAGAGAAGTGCCCACAACTATGGGCTGTAAAAACCAGCAGGGACATGGAGGCTGCTGGAGACCCAGGCATTCCTTTTAAAGGGCCAGTGCACCAACATACTCAATCCCTCTGAGCTCCGGCACCGAGCAGCTTTGGGGGAATCCAGGGAATACAAGGATGAACTGGACTGTCTGGCATCGGGGCAGGAACTCAGGGCAGCTTTTTACCAGGTGGGGTGCTCTCAGGAGTCATTGTTCCTGTGCTGGGACCTCCCCTATTGCAGGGCTGACTGGCAGCCATATCTGAATTTCCATCAAGGTGGCCCACATTGTTGCTCTACCCTGGTGATTCCCTGAGATGCTTTCCCATCCAATTTGCACCCCCCACCTAAGCTGTTTGCAGCAGCTTTGAATGGCCTGTCCTGGTTTAGGCTTGACACTTTCCTAAAATCTCTTAAATAAGCTGCAGCTGGTGATGTTGTACCCCAAACCAACCTATCAATAAGAGGCCCAAGACCCAGCACTAGCATCAGCCTGCCTTGCATCACAGCTTGGCTTCACCTGGGCACATCCAAGCCCAATACAAATAGCATCCATCTGCAGATACCTCTGTAGCTCCTCTCAGGTAGCCCCAGGCAGTGGCCAACTTCGTACTTCCCAGGAAGCCAGTGCACCAGGTGGACAGCTTCAGACATAGCAGATTACAATTCTACACATTCACAAGCAACACACTCAAGAGGCAGACTCAGTGAGCAGCAAAGCCCCATTGAAGCAAGTCCTATTTCATAAGGGTGTCTTCTGCACAACAGCTCTTCCATTGTAGATTCAGCTGGTCATCACAGCCAACTGGCCTGGAGGTCAACTCCTCTCAGTGATGCCAACAGCAATCAAGGCTCAACTACAAGACTGTGCACACAGCCCACACAGGGGTACACCTAGAATGCCCATCTCAGGTGACTTGGAAAGTTGAGCCTCTGGGCCCTACAGGACCCCTACTACACAAGGCCACTATACTAATTCCAGGAGACATAACAGCTCATAACCCAATACAAAGAAACAAACACAAGGAAGCAGCCAAAAAGCAGAGACAAAGAACACATCACAAATGAAAGAAATGGAAGCAAGCAAACCACTGAATACAGAGTTCAAAACTGTGGTTATAAGGTTACTCAAGGATCTTCATGAAAGGTTCAAGGGAATTAATGAGAGCATCAAGGGACTTAGTGAGACTTTCAAGGATCTTGGTGAGAATTTCAAAGACATAAAAAAAGACCAGCCAGAAATTAAGCATACACTAACTAAAGTAACAAATAGTTTACAGGGATTCAACAGTAGAGTAGAGAATTCTGAGAACCAAATCAACAATTTGGAATACAAGGAAGCAAAAAACATCCAATAAGAAGAGCAAAAAGAAAAAGAATCTAAAAATATGAAGCTAGTGTAAGGACTGTCCGGGACAACTTCAAGTGTAATAACATTATGGGGGTGCCAGAAGGAGAATAGTGAGAGCAAGATATTGAAAACCAAGTTGAAGAAATAATGACAGAAAACTTCCCCTACCTGGTGAAACAAATAGACTTACAAGTCCAGGAAGCGCAGAGAACCCCAAACAAGAGGAACCCAAAGAGGACATTCCCTCCCACCTGGGATGAACTGCTCCTTTCAAAGGAAACCGACTAGGAGCAGCACAGAAGTGGACGTATTTCGGAACTTCTTTTCCCTGCATTTTCTCCATGCTTTTCTTCTCGAAGGGGTTATAACTTTGAATGTGTAGAGAGTGACATGATTTTCCTCTAGGAAAAATGGGTCCAGTTGGCGGGCTGAGCAAGCACTGGCTCCTCTGAGCAGATGCTAGTGTTACCCCTTGGAGGGTGGGTGACTATTGTCAGGCATAAGAATAAACCCTACGTGACAAGAAGTCAGTCACAGACTTGGCTTATATTCAGCAGTCACCCGGGAAACACATCTAAACTTCAGTTCGGCAGTATTTAGCTGTTGGGCACTTGGTGCCAGTTGTTTTCAGGATCGATGGCAGCACTTCCCATCTCTTCGGCACTCTGGAGAGACGTCTTGTCCATTACTCAGATTGGGGAGATCAGGAGGGTGAAGCATGTAGCTGGCCTCGGGTTAGTCACAGAACTGTGGGGCTCCAGTTCCTAGGAAGAGGGCTGGTTTTATTTTCAGTTTATTTTAAGGATTCATGTTCATCTTCAAGGACCTGACTGTTCCCAGGAGAAAGGGGAATAAGCGGTTTTCTCTCTCAGGCATGATCTGAAGATTGGTGCCCTGAGGCCACACTACTAATTATTTTAAATGCTCTCCTCACTCAGAGGACCCGGTCTCACAACAGTTAGCTGAACCAGATACTGCAGATGATGTCTGAGCATGGGAGACAAAGCAATATAACGAAGCACCCTTGCAAGATGGTAACAACAATAGAAACAACGATAGTATTTAATATACAGTGAATGCCTACGTTATGCGAGAAGCTGCCCCAAGCACTTCACATCTATCACTTAATCCTCAAACAACCTTATCAGGAAGGCGTTATTATTAGTGCCTGTTGGAAAAGAGAAAAACCGAGGGACACAGAGGTAAGTAACTTGCCCAGAATCAACAGCTAGGAAGTAAGTAGTGAAGGCAATGTAAGCCCAGAGTCTAAAAGCTTGGCTAAACTAACTCACTTATTAGAAATGTCGTCTCTGACTGGCAGAATTTTTTGGGTTTGGCACTCAGTGAATTTGAAGGACATAGGTCAGTGGCTCTCAACGTTAGTAAGATATTAGAATAAACTAGGAAGTTTAAAAAAAATATCAGTGCAACACCACCCCAAACCAATGAAGCCAGAACCTCTGGAGTGGCCCCACTCAGCGATAGGCCTTAACCACCACCCCTTATGCAGGTCTAACCTGCAGCCAGTGGGAACCACTGATAAATGCAGCTTTATAAGACGTGGGTCTCCAAATTCTGCAGGCCCTCCACTGGCTCTGTGAGCTACTGTTCTAAATTACAGAGCAGGCCTGCCTCTGTCCTGTGGAATGCTGGGCCTCAGGGAGCATTTCAGAAGCAAAGTATAGTTACACAGCCTTCATACTGGGAAAGATTCTGCAGAGGCTCCAGGAACCGCTGGCCCTTCTGTGCCCTCTTGTAGATGCTCACCCATCTGCTGCTAAACGCATGCCCTCTCCTGGCAGAAGTTACCTGTTAGTCAGTGTTAGTACAGCTTTAAGGATCCTCAGGGAAGGAAGGAAGGAAGGAGGGAAGGAGGGAGGGAAGGAAGGAAGGAAGGAAGGGGAAGGAAGGAAGGAAGGAAGGAAGGAAGGAAGGAAGGAGGGAGGGAGGGAGGAAGGAGGGAGGGAAGGAGGGAGGGAGAGAAGGACGAAGGGAGAGAAGAGAAAAAGGTGTTTTCGAGTATCTCCTTTCTGTTGAAAAAACTTGGTCCTTTCCACGGCCCCTTGGAGTGAAATGTTCGGTTCTTAATCTCACTTCAGGCGATGAGCACTGATTCCGCCCGTGAGCAGCCCACATGCCACAAGGCTCCTCCTGTGAGCGGAAACCCATCTTCCTCTGGCTCCTGTCCCTCTGTCCTCCAGATCACGTGGAACAAGCCAATCTCTTCGGCAGAAAGCAGCCCAGCATGCGGGAACCTGCCCCAAGCCGCGGCCTCGGATTCCTGGGCCTCCACTCGCGCTGGGCCCTGGCTGCTGGGCCCCATCCCCTGCCATGTGGCCTCCCCTTTCCGATGTGATTGACTTCAGAATTCCCACTCAGGAGTTTATCTGGGTTTTGTGAGCTTTCCCTGTGGCGTGAGAAGCGGCAGTAACACTGGGAAGAACACGCGGTTTAGAATCTGTCATGTCTGTGTTCAGTTCTCCCTCTGCTGCTTCCTGTACCTCTCATTATGCAGACTAGTATTCGGTATGAAAAGAAGCAAATATATTTATTAAGTGTTAGAAAGCATTTGACATTGAAGACAACCTCATTCCTCCCTGCTCACAGGGAACATTTTGTTTCCTTTATTTTAATGCAACCTACTCTACCTGAATGTCTACTTATCACAATTACTGTACTCACATACATACATGTATGTAACATATACACACACGTGTGTGGCGGACAAATAGGAGGTGTGGAAGTTTAGATACTTAGAGGTTAATCTGAAAGTGGAAAAAATAAAACTTGGTCATGCTTGAGTTTCCATGGTCACTCCCAGCTCGACATGAACTAGCTGACGATGCATTTTCCTGATTCCCAGGGGAGCAATCAACAGGCTCTGAATGGTCACCTGCTCTGCAAATGGGAAACGTCACGTGACAAGGGAAGGCATGCTGAGATGGAGAGTTTAGGAAGACAGGTGCTGCCCAAGGTCTGCCCACCTCTCCTGCTCCCGCCCCAGGCCCCCGCGGGGCAGGGCCTGGGGGAAACTCCAGGCGCGTTAGAAAGGACCAAGTTTTACATCTTTGTCCTCATGATGACAGTGTTCCAACCCCTCATCGTCACGGCATCACAGGGAAGCCCGCTCACTGAACAGGACAGTCACCTCTGTCTTGGGGAAGGGAAGGCTAAGGTTGTGAGAAAAACAGAACCCACTGACACAGGCAGCCTGAATGGACAAGGAAACAGCCCTTTCTGAAATAGGATGAATTCAAATTCTAAGCAAGGTTACAGGCAGAACTTCCTTTTTTTCATTAAAGAGCCAGCCCTATGTGCACTTAGAGGTTATCTTGATGCTGGCCTCAAAAACAATGCTGTTCTATCCAATTAAAAAAAATGCACCTGGCATGGTATGGGGACTGTGGGCATATCTGGTCTCTGGCCTGCAAGGTCAGACAGCTAAGTTTATCTTCATCATTCTTCAAACGGGCTAAAGCAAACTAGAAAGCAACATTTTATCTAGGAAGAACAGCAGAAAATTCCAAACAACAGTTTGTTGTAGAATGGGGGTTTTCCTTCTCAGAACCTTTAAAAATAACTACCTGCCCAAGCCTCGCAGTCATGTAGGGTCCGCCTGTGTGTGGTGCTCTTGCGGCTGCCCTGGCCAGTTCAATAAATTCTTTGCTTGTTTTTTTTAATTAATCATCAGCCTCCAGTGGTCTTATTTTGAACCCAGGGTTCGACCCCACAACACTTTCCAGACCCTGGACCCCAGGTCCCGAGAGCTGCTGCCTGGAGCCCCGGAGACAAGTTGGGCGCGTACCCAGCTCTGCCGCTGGGCAGTCACCCTGTGGCTGCTGTGGAGGGCATGTCCGTTATCCCGGCCTTCCCTGGTGACAGGGCCAGACTGGCAGTGATGGGGTCTCCGCGTAGCTTTGGTAAAAGTTTACAAACTGAAAATGCACCGCCTGACGCTTCCTCCCCAGAGAAGGGAGGACGCAGGGCGCCTCCATGGCGCCGTCTTGTTGGAACTTGGGTCTGAGTCGCCCAGCGAGAGTCCCGGGCAAGCAGAGCATGCTTCTACATTATCTCTTTGAAAGTGGAGTGGGACACAACCTCTGCCAGCTATTTTTTTTTTTTTTTTTTTGTGAACCATTCTATTAATACCAATCAAATTGAGAAAATGATCAAATGAAATTGCATTTTGAGCATCATAAGCTGTGTAATGTCTATTCTGTTAAATTGGGGCCTATAATTGCTTCTCTACTGAAAAGATACAACAAAGACAGCAATCATGGCATGTCATTATCCCAGACTGGAAAACGGCCTTTGCTGGGAGGACTTCAAAGGCTCGTGGTTCTCGAATTGCATTTGGCTGCTATTGTCGAAGCGCAGGCAATCTCGATGAGGTGTTTACACCCAGGCAAGGCAGGAGCAGAGCCTGAGAGCCTGGGTCTAGAGCCATTAAAAAATTGTACATTATGTTCCTCGCTTTGATGTGAGGGTTTGTAGGTAGGAAAGCAACTCAGAGCGAGCACAGCTGAGCTAGATTGGCTGCTGCTCTCTCAAAGGAGCTGGTCGGCTCCCGGGAATCAGCACCGCGCAGGGGAGCGGGTGCTTCGCCGGGAGCTGTATGTGAACCGGTGTGTCTGCACGGACACATGCAGAAACATGTCTAATAGCATGTTGCCACTGGGGTCCGCCGTCACCGGAGAGCTGGCCCCTTCTTTCCTGTTCAGTGTTGTGACCGACCTTTACTCCGATGTCGTGAGGAGCCACACATTGGTAATTGAGGTTCCTTACGATTCTCATTCCTTGATGGCGAGAACAACTGGCACATCTCCAAATAAAGACAGGCCAGATTCTGGTTTTTAAAATGTGGTGTTTGCTTACCATGACTCCAACACACCTCTTATGATTATTTTAATCTTCATTGGGGATATTTTTCCATTGATTTTTTTTTAGAGATTGGGAGAGAGAGAGGGAAAGACAGAAACATCGATGTGAGAGAAACACGTAGATTGGTTGCACAAGCCAGGAACCAAGGTAAGTGCCCTTGATCTGAGTCAAACCTGGGGCCCTTCAGTCTGCAGGCCAACACTCCAGCCACTGAGCCAGACAGGCCAGGATGAGCACACTTGTTCTTTCACCCCCTCTTCAGGGCTTCCTTGTTAACTTGCCGAACGAGGGTCTGCAGTGTGCACTCTCTGCTTGATTTCTAACACATGATGCATGTTGGCTAGTCCCCAGGGCGGCAGGAGGCCAGGCAGGGCGGGCAGCAGGAGGCAGAGGTAGGGCCCGGCGGTGGCAGGAGGCCAGGCGGGGCAGGCAGGGTGGATGCGTGAGGCTCCATGTGCTATTTGGCAGCCTTTGGCTTCACCGGGGTTTCCACAACTTCCTCAGCCGTGCAGAGGCAAAGTACATGAAATAGTGGGTTCTGCAGTTGGCCACGTTCTTCATCCTATAGAACATGTACTAGTGTCCTCGCAGGCATGTGCTCACTAAAAACTGGACGGCAGGGAAACCTTTGGCTATATTATGTCTTACACTCATTTTCTGTATGAGACTGTTGAGATGTACAACCTAAAGTTAATTATGCCGTCGCCGACTTAAAACTTCATTGCTTTTCCACGGCCCCTGGTCTTTAAAGATGTGGAAAGCCCCCCTCACACGGCAAACACTTAACATTAAAAGTGCATCAGGCCCTGCCCCCTCTGCTCTCCAGCCTCCCCCCCCCCGCCCCTGGTTCTGTGTCCGTCCTCCGGGGGCCCCGGCGTGGTCCTCGGTGCTCTAAGCTCAGGCTGATCTTCGTCTGGAACCCCCTCGCCCACACTGACTCTGACCAGTCTCGTCCCCCGGTCCAGGTTTGGCTGGAATAGAACTTCCTCCCTGACGCCCGGATGCGCCTGAGCCCCTGGCCTTACAGGTTTGTGCTTTCCCTTCCGTAACCAGGGCCGCCCGGTCATCACACTCGTGTCCCCTCTGCCAGAGGCCCAGGAAGCAGAAGAAGGGACTCTGGCGGCTGCCGCGCCTTCAGCAGCAGGCATGCTCCGCACACGCTACCCAGGGGCTGTGTATGCCGGGCACATACGTGCTCAGTATTATTGGGTGAAAAAAATCCATGCACGTTGCTCACTGAACTCAGAGTGCATGCGATCCACTTGTTTATCTGGCTAGGTTTTTGTTTGTACAGCCAGGTAGCCAACCGTCAACAACACAAAAGGAACGTAGGGCTCATCTTCCGTTTTTTCCCCTTGTTCACTGGCCCCAGGCCCTTTGGCCCTTTGCCCTTCATATTTGCTGCTCCCTTTTCCAGCTCTCTCGCCTCCTTTTTATTTTCCCTGATGCCAACAGCCTTACCCCTCTGCTCGGCTTCATCTCTCTCCTTAGCACCTCCATCACATCCCAGCGCACCGGTTTTCCTGGGTGCCTATCGTCCAACTCCTAACGGAAGGCTAGCCCCACAGGATCTGGGGTTTTCGTCTGTTTTGTCCAATGACACATTCTAATGATGTGTCCTCGTGCAGTGCCTGACACATAATAAACTCTAAGTAAATAAATGCTAACGATGAAGAAATTAACATTTTCAAAAACACGAGGGAGTTTCCGGAATGTCTCAGGTAACCTGCCTGAAGGTTGATTACAGCAACCTGTGACAGTGAAGACCACGTGTGACCCGTGGGTGGTCCCAGCACTCGGCCTGCCCGTCGTGGACATCCTCCGGGGATTCCACATCAGGCCGAGGAGAGGCTCCACCCTTAGCACAGGGCTGTGGCTTCTTTCACTCACTATGACTTTGTGCCGAAACCGGTTTGGCTCAGTGGTAGAGCGTTGGCCTGCGGACTGAAGGGTCCGAGGTTCGATTCTGGTCAAGGGCATGTACATTGGTTGCGGGCACATCCCCAGTGCGGGGTGTGCAGAAGGCAGCTGGTCAATGTTTCTAGCTTTCTATCTCTCTCCTTTCCTCTCTGTAAAAAATCAATAAAATATATTTTAAAAAATATGACTTTGTATCCAGCAGAGTGGTTAGATAATCATATACTTTACTCACCATTCTGACAGGTCTGAGGTGATATCATGGGGGTTTTAATTTGCATTTCTCTGATGATTAATAACAACAAGAATATTTTCAAACATCTATTGGCCATTTGTATGTCCTTTTTGAAGAAATGTCTATTCAGATCCTTTGCCCATTTTTAAAATTGGATTTTTTTATTATTATTATTATTTTTTTTAGTATAGAGTTGTACAAGTTCTTCAAAAATTTTGGATATTAACCCCTTATTGAATATATTATTGGTGAATATGTTATGTTGTTCAGTAGGTTGTCTTGTCATTTTGTTGATGGTTTCCTTTGCTGTGCAAAACATTTTAGTTTGATGTAGTCCCATTTGTTTATTTTTTTTTCTTTTGTTTTCCTTGCCTGAGGAGAGACATATCAGATACAATACTGCTAAGTTAAATGCCAGAGGTTTTTTAAAAAAAATATTTTTACTGATTTCAGAGAGGAAAGAAGAGGGAAGAGAGAAATAGAAACATCAATGATGTGAGAGAATCATTGATAAGCTGCCTCCTGCACACCCCCTAGTGGGGATTGAGCCCGCAACCTGGGCATGTGCCCTTGATCAGAATCAAACCCAGGACCCTTCAGTCCACAGGCTGACACTCTATCCACTGAGCCAAACCAACTAGGGCTATTGTCTATGTTGTCTTCTAGGATTTTTATGGTTTCGAGTCTTACATTTATGTCTTTGTTTTGTTTATTCTTATATATAGTGTAAGAAGGTGATCTAGTTTCATTTTTTGCAAGTTTCTGTCCAATTTTCCCAGCACCACTTATAGAAAAGACTATTTTTACCTCATTATATGTTCTTGCTTCCTTTGTCAAATATCAATTGACCATACAGGTGTGGATTTATTTCTGGGCTCTCCATTTTGTTTCATTGACCTACATGTCTGTTTTTATGCCAGTAGTGTGCTGTTCTATTACCATAGCCTTGAAGTATAGTTCGATAGAGCGATACCTTTTTTCTCAAGATTGCTGTGGCCATCGGGGTCTTTTGTGGTCCATATAAATTTTTTGGAGTTTTTGTTCTAGTTCTGTGAAATATGTTATTGGTATTTTGATAGAAATTGCATTGAATCTATAGATTGCTTTGGGTCTCACGGACATTTTAATTATGCAAATTCTACCAATCCATGAGCACAGTATGTGCTTCCATTTGTTTGTATCTTTTTCAATTTCGTTCTTTGGTGTCTAGTTTTCTGAGTCGAGGTCTTTTACTTCCTTGGTTAATTTTATTCCTAGGTAGTTAGGTCTTTTTTTGTTTTGTTTTGTTGCAATTGTAAATGAGATTGTTTCTTAGTTTCCTTTTCTGACAGTTCCTTACTGGGTTATATAAATGCACCAATTTCAGTTCTAGTGATTTTTTTGGTGGAACCTTTAGGGTTCTCTATATACATAGCACCACATCATCTGAAAATAATGACAGTTTTACTTCCTCCGTTCCAATCTGAATGCCTTTTACTTCTTTTTCTTGTCTGATTGCTGTGGCTAGGACTTCCAGGGCTATGTTGAATGAGTGGAGAAAGTAGACTTCTGGTCCTCTCCTTAAGCAGTTTACTGGATTAAGCAGTACTTTCCAGTCCCCCTTCAGATGTCCCAGACAACACCCACAGCGGCGTGCCCCTGGCTGATCATAGGATGCCTTTGTGCTTCCGTCTCCACCAATTGTGTTTGCCAAGCGTCTTTCACTTTTGTTCCCGAACCTGTTTGTTCCTATTGAATGTATTAAAACTACAGAACTTATTTAAAGATTAGATCATGTGGAGAAATTTTAATGTGAATGGAGTTTTTATTTTCATGAAAACTAAGTTAAATAATTTAGAATGTCTCAGAAGCAAATGGCAAAATAACAGGTGGAGGGGAAAACGGTAAGAGATTGGTGGGAACATTCACAAAAGCCTGTAAAGACGCTGCTCTTAGATTGTTTCCTTAAGGTTTCACTTTCCTTTGAGAAATCAGTTGGGAATTTAGGTGTGCTCAGACCGATGGAGGAAGGACTGCACGGCTCCGAGCCATGGGTCTGCCCTGACAGAACGGCTTGCCTCCTCAGGAAGAAACTGGCCAGTGCATGTATGATGTATTCTAAGTCATATAGTTACCAATCGTCATTCTGCTTTAAACACTTTGTTTGGGTAATTGATTATCGGTTCCTAACCAGTGCGACAGGCTCGTGCTGAGTCAGTGTGCTTCTAGCTCCAGAGTATCCCATTCCTGCCTTTGTACCCCCGCTCCTGCGCCCCTTGCCTACAACACCTCTGCTGCCCACCTACACCTGTTGCCTTCTCCTTCCTTTTTTTTTTTTTTTTTAAGATTTTAAAAATAAATTTTCTTAGAGAGAGAGGAAGGGAGAAGGAGAGAGAAACATCGATGTGAGAGCCAAACATCCATCAGCTGCCTCCTGCTCACTCCCTCCCTCCCCGATTCAAGCCCGCAAACGGGCATGCACCCTGTTCAGGAATCAAACCAGCGGCCTTTGGGTGCACAGGATGTCCAACCGATGGAGCCTTACGGCCGGGGCACCTCCTGCTTCTTTTAAAGAAACAGTTCAGTGACTGCCTCTTCTTCAAGGCCTCTCTCGCCTCCCCTGACAGACAGAGGCACTTTCTCTCCTGGGTTCATCCTGGGTTCATCCAGCGCGCAGGCATCACTTGGAACCACTGCTTCCTGCCGGCTCCCCACTGAGCCAGAAGCCCCGGAGAGCAGATTCAGCCTCAGCGCAAAGTGGCCCTCACTGAAGAGGACAGTGTGCCCAGGCCGGGGAGCAGCACGGACGGCAGGGCGCCGGGCACAGTTTGAGAGCTATCCTTACAGACAATTAAGCACCTTGTTGTGATTCTGCAAAGGCCATGCACTAGTCACGTGGAGAGTTTTCTTTCACGGATCCGAGGCCAGTGATGCCGCAGCGACCAAGTACCGCTTTATCGATCACACAAGTCGGGAGCCAGGCTGCCACGTGCTGAACGGCGCAGACAAGAAAGACCCTTAACAAGTCGTGAATGGAAAGTTCCATAAAGTTCAATGTAAATTACGCTTCATGAGTGAGCTCTCTTGTAGCTGCGCAGGGCAGAGAAAAACAAGCCTAGGAATCAATGAGCATACAGCGTACTCACTCTGGAGAACAGTATTTACA